GATGGCGCTAGAATTAAAGTTTTTGCTGCATATAGTTTGCGAAGAGATTATTTTCTTCTGGTGCTGAAACAGGCATATTTTTATGATTGTTAGAATTTAATTGAACTGTTCAGATATTACTATACGATCGTATTTTAGGCTCCTTCAGTTATCTGAAGATATTAAATATATATACTTTAGTTGTTGTTTTTTTGTTGTTTTTACCAGAAAGTATAAACTCATCAGCAACCACAGAAGGACTCACTTGTGCTGCTTCCATCTCCCCAGTTTTTAACTACAGGTAAATTTGCATTTTCATTAGAAAAGGCCTATAAAATTAAACACACTGTTGCCTCACAGTCAGTAGGTTCAGGGTTTGAATGTGCCAGCCCGGGGCCCTCTGTTTCTATGTTTTACTCCCACAGTCTTAAAACATGCTTGTTGGCTTATTTATTGATTATAAATTGATTGTGGGTGAGAGTACATGGTTGTATGTCTCTCTGTGATAGACTGTTGACCTCTCTGGCGTGTACCCTGTCTCTGTTTGCTTTCTGTGACCCTGATCTGGATATAATTTTTTTTTTAAATTGATGAAATATAAAGTAAATTATGTAGCCAGATTGATCTTTCTTACACGCAAAGACAACACATACTAACTGTACACTCTTTGATAAATGAGATTAAATATTTTATAAGATGTGTTATTACACCCCGATAGAAACAAAAACTCAATTTTCTCAGTAAAAGCAGCCTTTGTGGTTTTATTCATTTACATAAAGCGTTTTAAACTGGAATGCAGTTTTCCTAAGCATCTCAATGTGCAGGATTAAGATGTTTCAGGTTATTATATGTCATAAGACTAGCTAAGTTCTCTGCACTGACACCAAAGTAACCATATAGACTTTGTTTCACTCCAGCTGGGAGAAAATTGTGTCTTTTAGTTTTCTTTAAAAAGAAGCATAAACTCCTCCAGTGTGTTTGTTTGGTATTATCAGATTTGTTGTAATGGGTTCCATGTCTCTTTTTAGTATATGCTCAAATTCCAACAAGGTTCTGTGTTCGAACAAAAAGGAATGGGAACAAAAAGGTTAATGACCCCTGTTATTGAGGCCATAAAAACATAATAGTGCTGTTCACAATGACACAGTGAAGGCTCAGTGCACAGGCCTAATAACCTTGGCAGTATGTAAATGTTATATGGCCAGATCGTACTGCTGAGGGAAGAAATGTCAGTGGACATTCCACAATTCACTTACAGCAGTTTTTGAATTTTTGCTCTTAAAGCATTTTGTAACATATTTATATTGAAACATTATTAATCTATTTAATTTACATTCACAAGCTGAAATCTTATGTCCCAGACTTTTCTAACCCTCTGTCAGCCAAGTGGAAGCTAAATTGGCTAGTCTTTTAGCATCAATTCATATGTAAATTAGGTCGTTATCTGAGAATTCTGGAGGGGAGTGGGGGTGTGTGAATGATTGCTGATTTCTAACTGCCAACTGCCTCTTTGTTTGTGTGTGTGGGGGGGAGCTGCTAAAAGCTGTGAACTTCCTTTTGTGTTGAGGTGGATGCAATTGTCTTGCGGGGGGGTTACTAGGGTTCCATCACTACGTGACTGCTGGTCAGCAAACCTGGGAAACCCACAGATCATTGGAACTATACCGCGAAACCGCTTCCAAGACATCATGCAACACCTACGCTTTGATGACAGGTCCACCCGCAGTGATCGAGCAAAGACTGATAAGTTCACTGCAATTCCCAGTGTGTGGGAATCATTTGTCACCAACTGCATCACGTGCTACAACCCTGGTCTACATATCACCGTTGATGAACAGCTTTTCCCATCAAATACTCGGTGCTGTTTCCTGCAGTATATTGCAAGTAAACCTGACAAGTTTGGGATCAAGTTTTGGGTGGCTTGCGACCTAAAATCCAAGTACATTTGCAATGTCTTCCCATATCTTGGCAAGGACCCCAATCGTCCCAGTGGGGAGAGACTTTCTGAAAATGTAGTGATGAGGCTGATGGAACCATTCCTAGACAAGGGCAGAAATGTTACCACGGACAATTTCTTCACATCGCTTTCACTTGCGCAAAAACTTCTTAGACGGAAAACCACCGTCCTCGGCACAGTCAACAAGATTCGCCGGGAAATTCCTCAATCCGCTAGACACACAGATCGCAATGAATTCACCACTCAGGTCTGTTGCAGGTCTTTTGTGGTTCTATGTTTATGTGTTTCATTGTGTATAAAAGTGCTATAGAAATAACAATTTATCTTATTTCTTAGGTGTTTTCAACCTCTGCTGCCACGTTGACGGCGTATGCGGCCAAACGGAAGAAGACAGTCTATATTCTTAGCAGCATGCACAGCGTGGTTCAGACTGATAACACCACCAGAAGGAAGCCAAACACCGTCACCCTTTACAACACCACAAAGTGTGGCGTGGATGTGATGGACCAGATGGTTCGGGAGTACACTGTCCGCAGAGGAGCACGGCGCTGGCCAGTTGCCGTGTTCTATAACATGATTGACATGGCAGCACTGAATGCACATGTGCTGTATCAAGCATGCACCGGGACGCAGGAAAGATGGGTGGACTTCCTGGTGGAGCTTGCAAGAGAGTTGGCTAACTCTCATGTGGCTGGGATGAAGGCAAGAAAAGAACAGTTGCTTCAGACACAACCCTCCACACCTAGCCCTGGAAAAAGAACCATGTGTCAGGTCAAACACAAATGCAAGAACAATCATGCCACTGTGCGATGTGTTCACTGCTACAGATACACATGTGGTAAATGCAGACTACAGATACCATGGCAGTGCCAGGATTGTGAGTGATTGCTGAAAATGTTGAAATGTACTCACTCACTTTTTATTATTATTTGTAAATATGTGTACAAATGGTTGTTGTTGTTGTTTTTGTTTTTTTGTACTGTTTTTATCAATAAATCTCAGCAACAAAGGACATACACCCATGTGTGTTGATTTCTCCCTAAGATGGCAAACTGAAACACAAGTTTCCTTGTGGCTCAGGAAACTAACCACTTCAAGTGGCTCAGCATGGCCAAACCTTATTTACATAACAAAAGCAGCTGTTCACAGGTGATTAAGGATATTAGCTAAAAGCCTACCAGCCATTTGGCTGGAAGGCAGGTTTTAAAGGTAGAAAAGCCAAATGGCTGCTCTCTGAGACGTCCAGTGTTAAAAAGGAAACTACTGCTTTACTGCAGTCTTACATACATGTACATAAAGTGCACAGTCCTGTATGGTGCCTTTTAAGCTATTTGCTTTATGCATGTATAAAGAGAACAGATTGTATCTTGTTTCAAAAAAGGCCCCACTTCCCTTTTGGAACATGCTACATTTGAGAACAGATGACATGACTTTATCAGCCAGGCTTATTTGCACAGTACCAGGCTGGAAAATGAGGAATCCAAACAGGAGGAGTGGTCTTTTGCACTATACAATGCCTCATAAAAGGTTTTTATTTTTCATTTTCCCAAACATTGACCACAGGTAGCATGACTAATTTGAACAGTAGCACAACTGTTTTGCATTTCTTTATGCCTGCTTAAGTAATGGTTTCCCTACAGTTATACATAATAAATGAAGATTAAATATTAATTGATAATGTTTTGCAATACTGTGCACGTTTGGTGGGAAAAGGGCTCCATACTGAGTGCCTGCAATCACTAATACCCAATGTAGCTCTAAGCATAACACTGATTACAAGAGGGTATCTCAGACAGCACTTAGCACCCTCCACAGTGTAGACATTTGAAGCCTGACAAATCATATTTGTCTGCATGATGTGGCTTCTTATATTATAGTAAATGTTTTTTGCATATAGAATAGGCAATTATTATTATTAATTCTAATTTGTGTTGTACAGTTATTTCATTTTTAACCTTAATTTATATTTTATTCCTTCCTAGTTAAATTTACCCTTTTTAATTTTTCATATTTATTTCCTATCTTATTCATAGCCTTTTCTTTTCTTTTTTTCTTTAGGTCACGAGCAGTTGTCTAAGCATTTCACTGCATATCGTACTGTGTATGACTGTGTACGTGACAAATAAAATTTGAATTTGAATTTTTTTAAACAGAGTAACAAACATATTCTTGACCATGTACATCGCTTTATGACCACAGTGTACCCATCTTCTGATGGTTGCTTCCCAGAGGATAACGCCCCATGTCACAAAGTCCAAATCATGTCAAACTGGTTTCTTGATCATTACAATGAGTTCACTGTACTCAAATGACTCCCATTGTCACCAGATCTCAACCCAATAGAGCACATTTGGCATGTAGTGGAACAGGAGATTTATGCCATGGAGGTGCAGCTGACAAACATGCAGCAACTCTGTGACACTGTCATGTCAATATGGACCAGAATCTCACAGCAACGTTTTCAACACCTTGTTGATTCCATGCCATGAACACTTAGTGTAGTGTAGTGTAGGCTATCCTATTTCTAGTGTGCTTTTTGTCTCTTACACAAAGCTAAGTTCATATTATTACATTCATTTTTCAACGGAATTGTATTACATAGTGGGTGCCACCAGATCTCAGTCCAATAGAGCGCCTTGGGGATTTGATGAAATGGGATTCAGATCATGAATGTGCACCAAACAAATCTGCACCAACTATGTGAAAGTTTCCTGCGTCTTAGCTGCTCTGAAGGCAAACATGGATCCACACCTTTACTAAGATATGCCTAATAAAATGTCCAGTGAGTGTATAGTTATTATTTTATGAAATTAAATTAAATTAATTAGCGCAAAGAAAAGGTTAAAAAGTTGGTGATATTGCTGATACCTTCCTGTTAGCTGCTTCGTTATTAGGTAGAGTAAGGGTTCTTCAATCTCCACTGAAGCTGGAATTTTTACTGATTTTCTAACACAAAGAAAACTTCTTAAAAGACCCAGCGTACTAAACTTTTAGTAGTTACTGAAGGTCACGAACAGGAAAAAAAAAAAAAGGAAAAAATGGTGGAACATCCGATTGTGACGTGTAACCTGACGTAGCCCACATAGTAGAATGAATGAGGTGGACGAAAGCAGCACGAGCGCTCTGACTCAGAAGTTCCCAGAGCTCTGGCTAACATGGCGATGCTGTGAACTCGGTTCATTCTTCTGACACTAAGGAATATATTTACATTTTACAATATCGGAAAATAACATCAACTAGAACAAGATAATGGCACGAGGAGAGGGCGCCGAGCAGTACGCGGCGACTTTATTGTCAGTCAAACCGCTCAATGCAGAGATCAAGACGGTGAAGGTAAGAGCGACGTTTAACCGGCACGTTTGATTTTTAAGAGGGGTGTTAAAATGAACAGGATTTATGTGCCCGCCGCGCCCACTTAAAAAAATAATAATAATCAGGTGCGTTAAAGGGCGCCTAAATTCAAAGTAACGTTTGATAAAATGCGGTCGTTACTTCCTTTCTTACCAAAAACCTCACACCCTGCCTTGTTCTGTGCCCTTTCCTGCCCTCGAGGTTTGAATTTCGCCCGGTCCACGTTTATCTGTCCTCCAGCTCTCGTGATGCTGGCATACCGGTTTTAAAGGGACCAAACACCTTAACGAAAGCCGGCGTTTTCTCTCTGTCACATTCAAATATAGCTGCTGGCAGATGTGGAGAAACGTGGCGTGATCCTCTTTTTAGAGCCACGACTTGTGAGCCATATTTGGTTTAAGTGGCTGAAATTAAGTCCCTATATTTAACGATTAACGCCTTAAATTTCCCCCCAAAATGGTTTAATAGCTTCCATATCGTTCAACAGTGGCGGTATCTTTGCACGAGAAAATACACGGCAGGTTGCATTTCAAACATCAGTGTCTTCTCTGTGATCATTTACATTAATGTGATGTAGACTTAAAGTGTATCAAAACTCCTGTGAAACATTAGCCCCAAAGCTGCTAATCTTTAGTAACCTTGATGTGCATTTAAATTCATTGTCTTTGGGTTTTTAGACTGCTGGATGAAAAAGTAGCGATGTATATGGCACCATGGTTCAAACTGTAAATTATACTGGTGGTTTTCTTTGAATCCAAAGGCACTTTTCAGTGCAGTCCTCTTGTACTCTGGGAAAGACTGTGGAGATCTTTCTTTAAAGCACATTAAAGGTTATGCAGGCTGCTGTTCTTTATTTAGCATCAGTATTATTTTTAGTCTTGGATCACTGTAATTCCAGACATGCACTCTGTGGAACATGACCACAGAGAGAATATTGTGTGTGCCTGTTGATACGGTTGCAATTTGCGTCCTTCAAGAGGTGATTCTGCTTCTGTGTCCGTGATGGTTGTAAATCAGGGTGTGTAATCCCCCCTTTGCTGACATCACGCTTGAGAAAGGGTATTGGCTACCGCTGATAGGCTCTAGTCTGTCTGGAGGCTGTTGGCTATTCAGCATAAAATGTCACACTACCTCTAACATACCATTGCTGGAGCCAATGGCTGTGCTGAGGTGATGTAGTGATGTGGTTTCACTCAGCATGAACTACAGTAACCTCATAGTTCCGCGTTGCAACGCAAAGTTTGACAGAGGGATGGGTGTAGGGATTTGAATCAGAGGGATGAATTAAAGACTGAAGGCAGAAATGGAGCCAATGATAATGTGTTAACCCACTGTCTACATAATTACACCTTAATTTATAGCTTCCCAGTGGAATTCGAGTTTACCCATATTTAATGTCTAAATGCACTAACATCACTGCATTTCCCCTCTGTTCTCGCCTCTTCTTCTCTTCCAGCTGAAGACCCAGAGAAATCGTCTGTCTGTGTTCAGTAAAGTGTGCTATGCCTTTGGCGGGGCTCCCTACCAGATCACAGGCACTGTTCTTGGCTTCTTCCTCCAAATCTACTTGCTCGATGTGGCACAGGTAATTGCCAAGCGCTGGGCAAAAAAACCCAAAAGGTTAAAATCACACACTTCTGCCTCCTTTATAAAGCTGCACCAACTGTGAAGATTCTGGGCTGATGCCAGTATTTAAAATAAAAAAAAAATTAACATTTGTGTGAGGAAAACTAAGTGATCTTCATTATTTAAAAAAAAAAAAGCTCTTCATCACAACGGTTTTTAATATTAAAAATCAATGCCACACAGCAGCTAAATGACATCGATAAAATTCAATTGTTTGCAGAACACACACAGGTTACAAAAGCAGGGGTCAAGGTGTGTGTGTGTGTGTGTGTGTGTGTGTGTGTGTTCTTCTCAGCCTCATATCAGCTAAACTGTCTCCGGTCAAGCGTGTTAACCCAGACTCCCCCTGTTTGCTTTGTTAGCAAATTAGACTTTTTCCTGCTGTACACAGTAGGAACTGAAAAAGGCCATTCAGCTCAGAGGATGAGATCATTAGAGGGGCTTTGAATGCTGCTTTGTTATAAAAGAAGTGACAGTGTTGTGTATTTTAATTTTGTTGTGCTCTCAGCTGTACTGAGTCTGCTGTCACAGCTCTTTTGAGCCACTCTCCATATGAGGTAGTCCTTGGCATCCTCACTGTTTTGGTCTCAAAGCTAACACACTTTTTTCCACCCTTCCCTTCTAGCTGGACCCCTTCTATGCCTCTATCATCCTGTTTGTGGGAAGGGCCTGGGATGCTATCACCGACCCCACAGTGGGTTTCCTGGTGAGCCGGAGTAGATGCACCCGCTTTGGCCGCATGATGCCCTGGTAGGTATCTGTATGTTGAATGATAATAAGATAATGCTGCGATTTGAGTAAGGACAGAGATACATGAGGCAAATGCTCTGGCAACAACAAGGAAAAAAAAAAAAACAGCTCAGGATCAGTAGCCATGGCAACAAGTTTGAAGTAGCAACTAAGGAGGAATAAATGGTAAGAGTGCAATAATGCAGTCTAAATATGTATCATATACAGTGCCAGCATCAGACATTCCTACCAAATGCAGGCTGAAGCACCCACTGAAACCAGCCAGCTGAAGAGTAGGAGCAGGGCTACCATCGTCTGCTGCGGTCCTAGTTTGGATCGAGCCTTGAGACGAAATCCTTTTCAGAATCAGAATCAGAATGGGGTTTATTGCCAGATGTTGAGGTTTACAACATTAGGAAATTGCTGTGGTGCTTCAGTGCAAACAATAAGAATTAAAGTGCTATGTAGAAAGAAAGATATGTGCATGAGATATACATGAGATATATACATGAGAATAAGAATTATGAGTGCTACGTAGAAAGATATATACATGAGTGCAGGTGGTGATCAGTGCCAAACATGAAATGATGCAGTGACACAGCGTAGGGTCATGTGTTAGTGGCGGGGACAGTCATGTGGTTATTGTTCATGTGTCCAACAGCAGAGGGGAAGAAACTGTTCTTATGGCGAGAGGTTCTGGTGCGAATGGACCGGAGCCTCCTGCCTGAGGGGAGCAGGTCAAACAGACTGTGTCCAGGGTGAGAAGGGTCAGCTGAGATCCGGGCTGCACGCCGCAGTGTCCTGGAGGTGTACAGGTCCTGCAGAGATGGGAGTTGCAGCCAATCACCTTCTCAGCAGAGCGCACAACACGCTGCAGTCTCTGTTTGTCCCTGATAGTGGCTCCAGCGTACCACACGGTGATGGAGGAGGTGAGGATGGACTCGATGATTGCAGTGTAGAACTGCATCATCGTCCGTGTTGGCAGGTTGAATTTCTTCAGCTGCCTCAGGAAGTACATCCTCTGCTGGGCTTTCTTGATGACGGAGGTGATGGTGGGCTCCCACTTCAGGTCCTGGGTGATGGTGGTACCCAGGAAGCGGAATGAGTCCACAGAGGTGATCGGGGGAGCGAAGATGTCCACGAGTTGGGTCAGCAGATGATGGGGGGGAGTGGGGCTGTGTGCTTCCTGAAGTCCACAATAATCTCCACTGTCTTCTGGGCATTCAGCACCAGGTTGTTGTGGCTGCACCAGGTACACCAGACGTTCAACCTCCCTCCTGTAGGCAGACTCATCCCCGTCCGAGATGAGCCCAATGACGGTGGTGTCATCTGCGAACTTGATTAGCTTGACAGACTGGTGGGTGGAGGTGCAGCAGTTGGTGTACAGGGAGAAGAGCAGAGGAGAAAGAACACAGCCCTGAGGGGAGCCGTGCTGATGGTCCGGGAGTCCGAGACATTCTTTCCCAGCCTCACAGTGCTGCTTCCTGTCCGTCAGGAAGTCAGTGATCCACCGGCAGATGGGATCAGGCACATTCATCTGGGAAAGCTTGCCTCGGAGATGGTCTGGAAGGATGGTGTTGAAGGCAGAGCTGAAGTCCACAAACAGGATCCTGGCGTAGGTTCCTGGGGAGTCCAGATGCTGCAGGATGAAGTGTAGGGCCATGTTGATGGCGTCGTCTACAGACCTGTTGGCTCTATATGCAAACTGCAGGGGTCCAGGAGGGGGGCCGTGAGGGTCTTGAGATGGGAGAGAACCAGGCGCTCAAATGACTTCATGACCACAGATGTCAGAGCCACGGGTCTGTAGTCATTTAGTCCAGTGATCCTAGGTTTCTTGGGGACAGGGATTATGGTAGAGGACTTGAAGCAGGCAGGCACATGACATGCCTGCAGTGAGGAGTTGAAAATGCCAGAAAACACTGGGGCCAGCTCGTTTGCACAGTGTCTGAGGGTGGCAGGAGACACACCGTCTGGGCCGGGAGCTTTTCGAGCATTCAGACTCCTAAACTGCTTCCTCACATCTGCTTCATGAATATGAAGAGTTGTGGTCGGAGGAGGTGGTGTGAAATCCTCTTTTGTGTGAAGCAGGGAAGCAGTTGAATTATATTGAGGACTGATAGAGTAGCAAGCAGGACAGCTAGTCAGCCAATAGGGAAAATACAAGATGGGCCTGGGCTAGCTGGTTAACATCAACTGAGCTTTAAAAGTGAGGGAGTCAGACAGGGAAAAAAACTAAAATGAGCTGCAAAATATACTTAAGTGACTTGTGTGAATCACAGGGATGGATCAGGTCATAACAGTGGTTGTGAGAATTATTATTAGTGTAAGTCTTCTTGCTGACAAAGACTTTAACCAGGGTTTTAAAAAGTCCAGCTTACTTGACATCAAGTCTGAGCGTATGTCTCCCCAGACTAAACTAAGTTTGACGAGCCTGTAGGAAAGTGACACTTGGCTCGGTAAGAAATTTGTTGCAGCAGCTAGGAGAGTTTCTCTTCTTGCAACTTTCCAAGTACAAAAGGTCCTTGTAGCTGAACACACGCTGTACTTTTCCTTCCCTGTAAAACATTTGCAAAACTCAAATAGATGAAAATGCCTGAAACCATTTTTGCATTCCTAACAAACCAGTTTAGTTACCAGCATCGTCTCCCATGTTTTAGTTGTTGCAGTCTAGATATGTGTTTGCAATCTGCTGTGTGTTTGGTTCACTGTGACATAGCTGGCAGCTTGTCATGGGTATCCCTGCCTGAAGAAGGGCGACCTTGACTTTCTTCTCACAGTCAAACATGGTGCAGCTTTCTTGACAATATCAGAACCGTATCTGGTTACAAAAATCTCTCAAGGCCATGATATAATCTGCAGAGGAGCAGAGCTAAATATTTTTACAAGCTTTTTTCCCCCCCTCACATGATACCCCAGCCATATCTGGAGTGGAGTGACTGAAAAAGCCAGCTGTGCATGAGCTGTAATGTTGTAGCTGGGAGGAAGTGAGGGGGAGGGGGAAGTTACTGGCTTAAGCTGTGATTGGTCCAACCCACAACACACCATCAGCTTCAAACCAATATGGGTGTGTTCTCCTTTGTGTGTATGATTTCCAGGCGTGTACAAGTGTAGAGAGGTTACTTCAGGTCAAAAAGCATGCTGGGTTAAAATAATGAGGCTAGTTTAAAGAAAAATAGCAAAATGTACATAAAAGGGACATCCTCCAGATAAAAATACAGAGATTTGTTAGGTTCTTATTTCTTTTTTCTGTCTGTACTGGAAATGTACATAAAGACAGGCAGGCAGCCAGACTGGCAGGAGTCTACATTTCTCATTTTACTTATTATCTTAGCTCAATGAGGTTTTTTTTTATTTTATTTTAGAAGTAGATTTTGTTTCTTTTAGAAAGAGGGGGAAAAAAAAAAGAGTGTGATCATGTGTCTGTGACTTTCACTGCTGTGCCAGTGAACCAGCAACCTGTGCTCAGTGAGCAAAAATGGAAATTATTAGTACTCATTAACCTAAATTCGTTTGGACGTTAAAAGGTATCTGGAGTTTTCTTATTTTCCATATGAGTCACATGGGTGAAAGGGGAACAAGGGGATTTCATATGACCATGTGTGAATGTCACGCTCACCCTCTCCCCGTTAGTGTTATGGAGCTTGGGGAGAGTCAGGTTTTAACTCGCATGTGCGACGGCTCAGAAACAAGCCTGAGGAAGAAATAGCTGTTTAAATATATGTTGCCATTTGACAAAATGTTTCATGATTATGCAGTCAGGTGCAACCCTGTAAGCCTTCACCTCCCTGTTTGGCCTCTAAAAGGTCACATTTTATTCACATGATGCTAATAAAAACTGCAGTTTTCCTCAAATTATGTGTTTACTTTCAGCGAGAAAAATGTAGTTTCATTTTGGCCCCCAAAAACTGCCTTGTAATGGTTCTCTTAACAAGTAAAACTGTTTGATTTCCTTATTTAAAAACTGAGGCTTTAACTGCAGTCTGCCTTATCGCCGGTTTCTGTGACTGAGGTCAGGTAGAGGGCACGGCTGAAGAGAAGGATGCTGAGGCCGAGTGGGGTGAGAATGATGTGGGTCCAAGCAGCTATCGCCTCCTTGTGCAGCGCTGGCTGAGCCCTTTCTCCACACACAAGCTCTAACAAGGCAGGATTAGAAGGATTATTCACAAAGCATAAAAGAAAGAGTTGAAAAGAATTGACTGCCAGGGAGGGATGTAAAAAGGAGGGGTTGAGCTACAGTAACAGTGGGGAAAATGCATTAGACACACCCTTAAAGGAAGGAAACAGTGGGTTCTATGTGTTTGCCTTAAATACAAAAGAAAATAAAACAAAGGTAAGAAAGAAATGCTCAGTCTTTTATCAACCTGTGTCCACTCATCTCTTCTCAGGATCATTTTTTCCACCCCGTTTGCAGTGCTTACTTACCTCCTGATCTGGTACGTGCCTCCATTTGAAGAGGGGAAGGTCATTTGGTATCTGGTCTTTTACTGCCTTTTCCAGTCAATGCAGACGGTTAGTACCGCATTTTGAGCCCATGTTTTTTATTTTATTTTTTTTATTTGCTTTTTGTCCACTGATGTGAACTTGTCTAATGTTGTGGTCTCGTACATTTGCAGTGCTTCCATGTGCCATATTCAGCCCTCACCATGTTCATCAGCAGGGACCAGAAAGAGCGGGACTCTGCTACAGCCTACAGTACGACATCACCCTGTGCAAATAAACTGATTTCACTGGTGTTTTGTTATTCGTGTGCTGACCGTCAGTTCTTGTGTTTGCTCTCAGGGATGATGGTGGAGGTGCTGGGCACAGTGCTGGGCACTGCAATCCAGGGGCAGATAGTAGGTGGTAATTCCAATTGTCCCACTGAGTCTGATGCGCCTTACAGCACAAACTCATCCAGTGTCAACACCACTATAGCCTCACTGGATCAGACGGTGAGTCTATTGAAAGGGGTTTTTTTGTACTGTGTCAAATAAAAGATGATTATTGTTGGTCCAAGCTAAGGGTCGTGTAATTTTTTTTTTTTTTTTTTGTCCTCAGAAACAAGCTTACTTGGTTGCTTCAGGGGTCATATGCATCATCTACGTCCTGTGTGCTGCAATCTTGTTTTTAGGTGTGAAGGAGCAAAAAGGTATGAATCCTTTCTTATCCAATCAGGGCTCGCAAAATCGCCCGACGGGCGGGGCTTGGATAGATTTTGGTCGCCCGACCGTAAATATCACTAGCCCGGGGACATCGGGCGATTTTGCGAGCCCTGATAAATGCAAACAACATTTAAAGCAAGATAATGACTCAATTTGGCTTCAAGACAGACTTGAATCATGAATCTGACAACTTGACACGTGAATTGATGTAACAAAAAAAAAAAAAAAAAAAAAGGAAAAGAAAATTCTGACTCAGTTTTTGTCCAGTTTAATCATGCGCATGCAAAACTGTATATTAGTAACAGTGACAGGAATAATTCTTTAACTGTTAAACTTTTCTTAGCGCCTCTGGTTAGTTCCTCTTGGCCTACTCACTCTGTGTTCAAAAAGATAAAGATGTGGTGGCCAGATTGTAGCAAGTGCTGCAAAATACTCACTAGACAAATACCACATTGTCTCACCACAAAAGCTTGTGTGTGTTGTATTCTTAGATGCAGATTTTCAGGATGTCTCATTTGTTGTCTTCTCCTTTATGTTGGACTCTAGAAACCGGGCGGGACAAGTCGGAGCCGCTCACCTTTGCTCAGGGCCTGCGGTTGGTCATGTGTCACGGGCCGTATGTCAAACTGGTCATCGGCTTCCTCTTCACCTCTCTTGCTTTCATGGTAACGCTACATTTGATTTATGCATGATTTTTTTTTTTTTTTTTTTCTTTTCGTGAATTTTCAGAGGTCGCGTTGAAAGGATTTTTTTTTATTTATTTTTTTTATTACAGTAATTTGGTTTATAGTTGCTTCTGTCTTTTACAGCTGCTGGAGGGAAACTTTGCACTTTTTATCACCTACGCTCTCGGCCACAGGAAGGACTTTCAGAATATCCTTCTTGTCATCATGGTGAGTGTTTGTATTTTTACTATGAGTGCTCTTCTCGTAAAAACACTCATCAGGGTAGATTTAGTGTACATCAACACCATGTCTGCAGACGTAAAGCTTGCTGCTTGCTGTAAACTGTTTAGGGGATATTTCAGTTTCTAGTCTTAGGCGCTTCCTCGCATGATGTAGAAGCATGCTACGAAGGCCTGAGAGGGCAGATTTCAGGATGAGAGGAGGTGTCGTACTGTTGGGAATCTGTCTCCCACTCGCTCACTCTCTGAGTTATGCTAGATCAAGGGCACAGAATGGAGCTTTTGTTGCCCTGGCAACCCTTCACTGACACCATGGGAACAGCCACCATTGCTAATGCCCTCCTCTCACTGCTTTCTGCTCTGCTGCCTTTTTCTATGATTAGGAGTGGGAAATACTTGGACACTGTATCACATTTGGAGAGTTTAGAGCAGAGTGTCAAAGTCTGAGAATTCGTGGGCTTCTGGCCTTTCATCTACTGCTTGTTTTTGTTTGGTAATTTAACACTGGTTGACCAGTTTTGGCCTAGAGGTCAAAGGTTTTCTGCGCCCCTGCAGGGTTGGGTTAAAAGCCAATGAAAGCTTATTGTGACCTTATCCCCTGACCTCCTCCGGTGGTCATTTTAATTTTTCCACTTTCCACATTTCCCACAGTCCTCAGTGAAGCCCAGTTAGTAGTCTGAATAGTTTCTGTAGAAAATATTTTGTAATTTTTTGTTTATGAATTTCATTTGATTTATTTAAAATTATATAATTGATCATCCAAGAAAGTCCATCATACAGAGTTAGTCTGCATTTCTCTAAATTCCTAGCTCTAACTTTCCAACTAGTGTTTGGATTCCACTCATTTTAATGTATAAAACACAGTGTAGGAAAACTTGGAGCACTAGATGGTGCCTAAATATGGGAGATTAGAAGTTAACACTAACAAGCTTGACTAGCAAGTTACATAAACTGTATAGATTGTATTTATGAATCTAACAGATACGTATTTCATTTCATTTATTTATTTATTTCACACTTGGTCAACAGTTTCCACAGTTAGTTCTTTCAAACAAACAAACCAACTACGCTTTCTGTCAGTAAAGCACTGCAACCACATGTGAAAAGGAGCAGGCAGAAGAATATATTCTTATTAAACCCTGCCCCCTATCTACAATCCAACTTATATTGCAAGTGGGCACCAAAAGTCAAGGAACAAACTAACATTAACACTTATTTCCAGTCCTAACTCAAACCAAACAACAATTTACAATCAGAATATACCACTCAACATAGTAACAAGGAGAAAAGTAAGTAAATAAAGTAAATGAAACAAAAATAATGGATCCTTATTCAATGAACTCCAATTTCATTCACATTCTTCATATTGAGTTATCGTTTTAAGCATGTAACACTTTTTAAAACAATGTAAATTTATACAACTCTTTAAATTATAATGAAGAGAGTTCCACAGTCGTACCCCTAACCGTTGGACTCATTAATCTTTGTGTTGTCCTAGCTAGCTGATGCTTAAAATAAAATTTCCTTCTGCTGTCTTCTCCCCCGAACACGTTAAAAATACTCTTTGTAACTTAGAAGGCAAAATATTACTTTTAGCCTTAAACATAATTAATAGTGTCCGTAGTTTCACTAAATCTCCTAATTTTAATAATTTTGATTTTATAAATAATTTATTTGTATGTTCTCTATATTTAACGTTATGAATCATCCGTATCACTTTCTTCTGTAATAAGTTTATAGATTTTATAGTATTCTCATATGTATTCCCCCAAACATCGACACAGTAACTAAAGTATGGAAAAAAACAATGAGAAATATATAAAATGCGCATTGTTTTGTGGTCTAATAAATCTCTTACATTTCCCAAAACATAAATGTTTTTAAACATCTTCTTTCTAATATACTCAATATGAGATTTCCACGTCAAATTTTCATCTACTATTAAAATTTAGTAACTCTCTCAATCAATTCTCCATTAATGGACATAATGACTTCTTCCTCCTTTACACGACTGCCAAATATCATGAATTTCGTTTTTGTCAGATTCAAAGATAATTTATTTACATCAAACCATTTTTTTTAATCTTAACATCTCAGAAATCATAATTTCAACCAAATCTTTCAAATTCTCTCCAGAGCAATAAAAATTTGTGTCATCTGCAAATAAAATAAAATTTAACCTTTTTGATACGTCATAGATATCATTAATATATAAATTAAAAAGTTTAGGTCCCAAAATAGAACCTTGAGGAACGCCACATACAATCTTCAATCGTTCAGAGGTATTGCCAAGATAATGTACATATTGCAACCTATTTTCTAAATAACTTGTTAACCAATTCAATGCTACTCCTCTCACACCATAATTATACAATTTAGAAATCAAAATAGGATGTTGTAACGTGTCAAAAGCTTTTTTTTTAAATCAACAAATACCCCAACTGTGTATTTATTATTATGGGTTGCAGATGAAATATCATCAATGAAAGTCAACAATGCTAATGCCATTGATCTATTTTTTACGAAATCCAAATTGATTTCCATTTATTAGTTGATAGTTTTATTGAAAAAAAATCAAGTCTTTCCGCAAAAAGTTTTTCAAGCACTTTTGAAAACTGTGACAAATGAGACACTGGCCTATAGTTCTTAAAACTATGCTTATGTGCGGATTTATATAAGGGTATCACTTTTGCCACTACTCATTGATGTATTAAAAAATAAAATCTGTCCACCCACCATGAAGGAGGAAACTAGGTGTTTAATTTGTACCATTCTGTAAACATGTTTATTTCTGCTGTAAAGTTGGGCTTTTAAGTGGCTTTTGGAATCAGCCTCATGTGGCTACTAAAGGAATTGCAGTTTTTGGCATTTCATTTCTGGCTTCATTTTTTTACTCCCAGACATTCCCACTGTGTCCCCGATGATTATCCAAGCAGACGTTTTTTTTCTCCATTTGCATCAGACCTGCGTATTTCACATAGTAGCAAGTTGCAAAAAATATTCACATGTATAAAAAATGCAGAGAAGAAGATATGACTGACGCCAACCAGCTATAATTTCCGCAACAATATGTCTCAAGGTTTCCTCACACACTGGAAAAGTCCAGTTGGTTTGGCAATTTGTTTGCAACAAGGTCTGTGTGTGCGCAGATTAAATTCTGATTGAAAAGAAACAATGTGGTTAACAGTTTAGTATGTTGTCCAACAATGCCGATGCTACAAGTCTGCTATGTGTAGTCTACTTTGTGTTCTGTGTTTTGTTTTTTTGGGGACAAAGTGAATGAAACATATTTGCAAGCACAGCAGGAAAAAAGGCCATATGTTAAATTTTTTTTTTTTTTTTTTTAATTGCCCCTTGGTTGATAAGCATGCTTCAGCTATATGAAATACATGAAAAAAAAAAATTCTATAGTCATCGCTTAGTCATCATTTAACTCAGAGTATATGTTCTTTTCGTGCTCTCTTCTGAGCTTGTATAACTAAATTCTTTATCATTATTTCTTCAGCTCTCTGGGGCTCTAACCATCCCTTGGTGGCAGTGGTTTCTAACCCGGTTCGGGAAGAAGAAAGCAGCTTATTTTGGCATCTCGGTGAGTAGCAGATGGTATGGAGTGTAGATGAGTGAAGCTATAGCTCACTCTATGCTCTATTTTGACTCATTCAGTCTGCAAGATTAAAAAAAAAAGTCTTCAATAAATCCTGATCGCAAACTTTGTTTGTTTCATTTATGAGACCTCTGACGTCTTTCTCCCTCTCGCTACAGTGGGCAGTGCCCTTCATGATCCTGATCGTCTCTGTCAAAAGCAACCTGATCGTTTCTTACCTGGTCTCAGTGGCAGCAGGTGTGAGTGTAGCAGCAGCCTTCCTCCTGCCCTGGTAAGCACAAGTTTATCCACAGAAGTCGTCCTTGGATCCTTTTGTGTTGTTGAGCTTCTGTCTGGATGTTTGATCTTTCAGGTCGATGCTTCCTGATGTAGTGGATGACTTCAAAGTTCAAAATCCAGACATCCGCGGTCATGAAGCCCTCTTCTACTCCTTCTATGTGTTCTTTATCAAGTTTGCCTCTGGAGTCTCCCTGGGTATCTCTACCCTCACTTTGAAGTAAGTTTACTGACCTGATTTTTAATCAGTAATTCAATCATATTAATGTTTTCATCCTTAAAACTAAGGAGCTTATCAGTCCAGTAGTCCTAGGGACAACAATACTTAATTCTTCAGCTGACCATATTGCTTAATTTTTCTCCCCCTGTGTACACTTTTTCACAGATTTGCTGGCTACGTGACCGGGGGCTGCTCACAACCCGAGGCGGTCAGTGTAACCCTGAAGGTGCTGGTCTCTCCCGTGCCCGTGGTTCTTATTGCTGTGGGACTGTTGATACTGAAGACCTACCCCATCGATGAGGAAAGGAGGCAAGGCAACCGAAAACTACTGCAGGCAATGTTGTAAGTGAGGAGTGAAAACACACACACAATTTACCATTGATCCTTCTTCTGTGTCCCACCAGGATCTGTGCATTGTATGAAAACTTGAACTGTTAACCAGTTTTAGCCCACTCTTGTGTGTTTGTGACTCTGGTTGTTCTCCTTTTCTTTTTAAACAGCGATTCTGAAACGGATTCTGAATCTGAAACCTCAGATCGTGGGAGCAGCGTCTAGAGGCCAAGCCAGCCGCCTCTGCTGCTTTACATGTTTGCACAGGCTGTGAAGAGACCGCCTGGACTAATAGGGAAAGGACCACAAACCACCCACTGCTGACTAGTGATCGTCATCATGTCCGGGTTCCTCCGCAGTGAATTGCACAGGTTTACATCACCCTCTAGTGTCCACACTGAGTATTTATTTTTCCATCCAGCTGTGTCCCAGTGAACAGGTTAATGAAAACTCCAGAGAATACACAAGATCCAAATCTACACGGTGTAGGATTGTTATGTTATGCCGACCTCCCAGGTTAGATTCTGTTACTTATATATTTTTTTGTTTGTTTTGTTGAGATTTTCTTTCATCATTTAGCTTAAATGCCACACAGATCTCTTTATTATAATCTACAGCAATAGCTGAAAAAAATTCAAACCACTTCTTTGTTAAAACAAAGCTCACACACATTTTGGTTAGCATTTGGCAGCTTTTTATAAATGAACGACAAAGCCTCTTGGGAGCTCTAGTCTTGGTTTCCAAAGATGTTTGACTTTATTGTTTACTGAGACGTTCCTATTTATAGCCTTCTGTTTTGTCACTCCTCCCGTGTGATTGCACTACATCATGAAAGCTTTGGGAGAAAGTGTGCTTTGCAGTACCGTTTGCAAGGTATTAACGTGCTGGTTTACACTATGAGACCATCACTCGAACACACTGTTACATTTTGATGTTTCGATGACGCGTCTTGGCTGTTTTCCACTCAGTGTGCTCTGAAAGAAATGTACAGTATCAGCCCTTATTATGAAGGGTGTGCCAGCACTATTCCAGTAAATGGAGTCGTATGGAGATTTGCTACACTCTCTCCTTTTTGTTGTTTGTTTGTTTTCATATAGCACATTTCAAAAAGTGTACTTGAATTTTCTAAAGGAGAAACGGCAGTACAACATGATGTACTTGTATATAGGTTATGTGAATCATTGCCTTACAAATACGTCTTACAACTGGTTTCAGATATCTCTGATTTTCTGAACTCAAACTAATTTTTTATGCAAATCTCCGTCGGGTTTAATAGACTTTTTTGAAGTGCTTATAAAGCAAAGTCAGCTGTACTGGGAGTTCTTTTTTATTTACCATGTGACATCCCAAATTCAAAAATGTGTTATTTAACTATTTATGGAAACTATCTAAGGGACTATAATTTTCTTATGCAGGCATGTGTTTAAGAATAACTTATTACCAATGACTGAATGATTTGAGTCTTGTGGAAGGAAAAAAATGTAAATGTTGGCTTTGTTTGTCTTTTCCTATTGTCTTAGAAAAGTAAAAGTTGCAGTCATGGTGAAATGTGACTGATTTAAAGAATACAATAAAAAAAAAAAAAAAAAAAACAGCAGCCCTATAGCAGATGCTTTCATTAACTAATATGCAGATGACTTGATTTTACCTCAAATGATGCTATGAAAAAGGAACCGTTTTCATTTGGGGCCTTCAAACTGCACTGAATCAGCAGAATAGAGTAGATTACATCTGCCCTCTATATTAATATATGCTGCTGTATGTGTATATGTGTAAATACTTTTTCCAACTATGTTTATGAAGAGCAATGTATATAAACCACTGAGGAGTCAAATCGTGTTCATATTTTTGATTTTAAACTTGTGAATAAACTTTGTCAAAGCAGAGAAAAAAACTGTTTGGCTTCTTTGAAGCATCCTTATAACACTTTGTTTTTTATGCGGAACATTAAACCAGTTAGATGTAAGCCATGCATTAACATTAAGGTAGTGCAAGTTGGTATAAAACAACTTCCTTCAGTGAGAGAGACATTTATTTATTAATTTGTTTGGGGGGGGGTTGATTTTCTAAAAGAAGGAATACCATAAGTTTCAGACTTCTCTTTTTTTTTTTTTTTTT